TGAATTTTGCCTACTTTCATTTGTTAAGAGTTTTAAGTATAGGTAGATTTGTAAAGAACGGATCTCGGATCTCCACCGAACATGGACAAAATGATTGATGCAAGTTTTTTGCGTAACTCAGCTAATAAAGTAAGGTCATGTTTGTTTGGGTGGACATGAGCTTGGGATTGGACTAATAGTCCAATAAAATTATTAATCCGATGTTTGGTTAAACAATTGAAGTACGGATTAATTATTTTAAACTTGACTATTAGTTAAGATAGGATACATAATCCAACGGATTGGTAGTCCTAGGACTATTAGTCATAGGAATACTAATCCAGTCCGTCCAAACAAACATGACCTAAGGGTTTACGCAATCCATTCCTTGAAACATTTTTTTAAAGAGCTAATGCCAATTATTGTCTTATGTGCCATATTCAAGTTGGGAAATTTAAGTTCATGGTTGCCCTTTAATTAACCTCTCACCCAAATACAAATCTTTCATTCCAAAAGAAGTTTACAATAGGAAATATTATTCTGTTTTGGAATCAGTTACACTTAACACCGCGATGTTTCATCAAAATCTGACTTTAACCCTTTCATTTTAAGTTGTCACGGACAAACTGTTACACTTTAGATCAAATTATAATGTCATCTTCCATCTATTTAATGTCAATGAATTTGATAGAACAAGTGACATTTTTCTTTCCTCAGTAGTACCTTTACACTTCTAACATCCCACTTTTGTTCATTACATGTTTATTAAGTTTTCATTTGGTCATTCCACTTTTAATTTTGCAATTAACTATTTTTTAGAATTACTTCATTTAGTATACTTACATTTTTACGAAAAGTTCATAAAAACATTAAATTAAAGGTATAAAAAAAATAAAGTGCATAAAGAGATTGGAAGTGTGCAAACAAACTCTCTTATTACTACAATTGGCAAACTCACAACGCATCAGATTTTTTTAATTTAATAAAAACAAAAAACAAAAACAGCAAACCCAAAAAAAAAAAAAAAAAAAAAAAAAAGAGAGAAAATCTTAATTTTTGCCAATTTTTAGAGCTCCGATGGCATCCAAAAAGAGGTGGAACAAGACATATGACGGAAAAAAAAAAAAAAAACAGAGGAGTCAAGCAGATTTTAACTACAAAACACCAAAATGCTTGACACCAGCCAAACAAACTGCCCAACTGCATCATTGTTTGTTCCCCATGCCAATACAATCTTGGTTCTCCCATTCTTAGGCTGTCTTTAGAGTATGAATTTGATAAATATTTGAAAAAGAAAATAAAAAATATGAATAAAATACGGTTACATTCCACTCACATTTCACATATATTTTTCTTTTTTCTTTATAAATTTCTATTCAAATTTATACTTCAAACACAATCTTAATAGAATTTAGTGCGAGAAAGAAATCAAAACAAACCTGTATCTAAATATTGTGGGGAAAGGAGAAGTATCATCATCAGTTTTAACATCTAATGGAACAATAAAACATACAACTGAGAAGGGTTAACCATATAACATGTCCCTACATGTATATTTTAGAAGTTCCATATCAATAGTTTTTGGGTGCTGTTGGAGTCAATCAGACAGTCACCCGATTAATGGTAAAAATAATAATATCCATACTATTATATATGTAAGTATATGACTTGTTATTTAATAGTGTGGTAGATTCTTCTTTTGTCATGTGACAAATTTTCATATTCTAAAATAAAAAAATATTATTCAAAAGCGAAAGTAAGACTTGAACTCAAGATTTTGAATTTCATTAAGAATATTTTTACCACTTAAACAATATATATATTATAATATTAATTTTTTTATTATTTATTTTTATATTATGTGTACTATCTACTAATATATATATATATATAGATACTTGTTAAAAAATAAATTATTTATTTTATGTAAATGAGGCAACCCACGTGGGGCTGCCCCTTCCGCTCCTTACACTCTTTTCTTTTTCTCTTTTTTCTTCTTTCTTTCCTTCTTGCGTCTCTCTCTCGGCTGACTCTCTCTCTCAATTTTTTTTTTCTTTTAACATTCATCACACAAAATCTTTGATCCACCATAATTTATTAGGTTTTATACGCTAGTAATTATAGGGAGTTAGCAAAGCTGGGCTTGACAATTTCCAGTTTCGAGCATGAATATGCCCAATCTAATAAATATTAAATATATTAGATTAATGTCAAAGTTATATAATACGAAATTAACACAAATAACTAATTTAATGAAGAATTAATTACAAATTTTTATTATTTTCATTAATTTCACCATGGTTCCATCCAACTCATTGAGAATTTTTTTTAGACTAATGTATATCTTTTTATTTTCAATTACAGATGGTGTTTTTTTTTTTTTTGGTCCATTATTATAAAATTAATCAAGTAAAATTATATACTAGTAAAATATAATTTTTATAAGTTAAAATCAAATAATTTTATAAGTAATTTTCCTACAAAGATTAATTTTGAAGCCAAATTTTCTCCATTGCATCTTATATACATCATCATTTTACAAATTTAACCCCATATCAATGATTGAAATAACTGAGTCAACGATTGAAATAATTTTTTCAACCATCACAAATTTAACTCCACATCAAAAGATTGAATAATTTTTCGATCATCACAACTTTAACCCCACATCAAATGATTGAATAATTTTTTCAACCATTACAGTCGAGTGCACCGCAACTGACAATGTTTTGGGGATTAATTGTTTTAGTAATTTTTTATTTTTTTACAAAATGACATAAAAGTAAAGAGAAATTGACTTTTTATAATATTCTTTAATTTATTTATTAAAATTATAGTTTTTTATTGATTAAAATTGTGACCAAAATAGGCCTAATTCTCAAGTTTGAGTGGGATAGATGGTCCGAGTCACAAGCCAAGCAATAACGCACGCTCCTTCACAAGACTAGGTTCTCGAGTTTTTAGCGGCCAAGGGCTCAGGAACCTCTTGCATATTTAATCGATGTGATACTCTCACTCTACCTACCACTTTCCGAGCCAGAAGACAAATAATAATGCACGCTCTTTCACAAGATTAGGTTCTTGAGCTTTTAACCTCTCACATATTTTATTTTTATTTATTTTTGGTTAGGAACCTCTCTCATATTTAATCAATGTGGTACTCTCATTCTACCTACTACTTTTTTTTTTCTTTTTTTCTTTCTTGGAGGGCTGTTTCTGGGTTGAGTTTATCTGTATGATTTTTTTTTTTTTTTTTGGTCCAGATGCAAAGCGTGCATTTAGATTGATTTGAAATAGATATTTTTAAATGAAAGAGGCTGGATTGAAAGACCCCAAATGCGAAGGCCACAGCAGAGGCAATATATATTTATATATTTGTTCTTCAACTAGTTGAAAGGTGCCTCACAATTTTCTTATCATTCATAATAATATGCTCATGAGTCTTGAAATTTTTTGAAGCGAGGGTTGGGAGTATATGAATATTGAACTAGCCTGTGCTTTATGAAAAAGTCTGGGACCACAGACTTAAGAGCCCAGATTATTTTGGGGTAGGGAATTGTGTGGTAGAGATTAAATTAGGATAATGTGTGATTCATATATAGAATAAATTTAAATTACAAAATAATAATTCTCAATAATTTCTAAATAGTTAAGTCTGCATTCGTATTATTGCTGGTGTTTTATAGACTCTGGAAGAGTCAAGTCTACAGTTGAAACAAGGCATAAACTCCAATAAGCCGATTTGAAAATTTGAACGTGATGAGTATTACTTTAAAGAGAAATTGGGGTTAATGGGAAATCTTATGGTAGGGGTGCGAATCATATGCACCCTATCATAATTGACATAATTTTATCACAAAATTTCATAACATTAATTATAAAATGCGTAACGCCGTCACAAATTAGCGTAATAAAATGTCTAAAATTTTGTGATTCATGTGACAAAAGTTTGTGACTTGATTATGATTTTTTTTGTTACGCCAATTTGTGACGAGATTATGTATTTTGTGGTTGATATTACTAAATTTTATGATAAAATTATATCAATTTATAATAAGGTGCACATGATACACACCCTTAGAGGGATGTGTACCATAGAATTTCCCTAAAATTGATTAAATTATAAATTTATAGTAGTCTTGTGTTAATCCAAAGATTAGATATGTTATACAATCCAAATGAGTTGATTATTCTAGAATTAATAGTTCTTAATCCCATCTAATATCCAATTTGACAAACAAATATGGCTTTCAAAATTGTGGCAGTTAGGTTGTGTTTGTGTGGTTTATGAATTTCGGTAGGAATTTAGAGAAACGAAAAGGAAAAAATTAGTGAAATATGAATAAAATGTAATTACATTTTATATATCTTTTCTCTTTCATTTTTTAAATTTCTACCCAAATTTATAAACCAAACACATGAGAAAAACTAAAACTCCATAAAAGGAGGAAACATGTTGACATCTAATTACAGGCATTCAAAAACTAAACCAATTCATCTCAATATCTACTTCATCTCAATCTTTCATACCCCTCATTTCTTATTATACAATAGAAATTTTATGCATTTCTCTATGGGATTGTACTAGACCCTGTTCAATCCATTTTCTTTCACATCTTCACACGACTAATAGTTTATGATGAAAGTGATAACACCAAGTTGAGAACCATAAGTGACTCAGATAGGATATTGGCGTTGTGTTTATTTTGGGAATTTGAGAAGGAATTTGGAAAGAAAAAAAGAAAAATGTGTGTGAAACTAGGTGAAATATAAATATATTTTATTTACATTTCACTTACTTTTTTTTCCTTTCCCTTTCAAAATGCATTCCCAAAACTTTCAACCAAATACAACGTAATGATTTCTTTGTTTGGATAATAAATTTGAAAAGATAAAAAGAAAATATGGGTGAAATACGAATAAAATATAATTATATTTTACCAATATTTTTTCTTTTGTACCCTTTCTAGCTCTACCAAAATTAAACACAGCCAAGAAGTATAAAATTTGAACAAATGGACTCATGTAAAAAAATAAAAATACAATCTTATTAATTGGAAGAATAAATAAATGATTGCATGACAAGCTTAAACCATGCACCATAAGATGACAACGTTTACAAAAGCAAGATATATCCTTACCAAAAACAAACTATAATTCAGCTGCAGATTTAATTCAATTCAATTAAATATACAGTTTATTCTCTCTCTTTAGTTTATCATTAATTACCAATTTAACAACATATAATGAAAACGAAAAGAAAAGAAAAGAAAATACGGGAAAATTAGCTATTAGTTGATGCGGGAACATATTTTTCTGATTTCACCAGAATTGCCAGTAAGGACACCAATCTGACCCATCTTAACCATGGAATCTGCAAAATCTTTCAAGAAAGTAGATCCTTTGGGAGTTTTCTGAAGCTGGACATAAGCATTGGTAGTATTGTCAGTGAGAAGAGCCGCGTCGGATTGAAACAATCCTCTTCTTTTGCTCACTACAGTGTAGTAATCCGTATCAAATGTTTTTGAGCTTCCTGGGTCCATCTCAACAATTGTAGTTGCATCTCCTGGCTTGCATTTCTTCTTCAGCTGAGCTATGTAATTCTGGTTCATTGTTGGGTCAGTGTCACCTTTACCGGTGAAGTTGTACAAGCGGTTCGTGAAAGAAGGACAATGCGAAATTCCTATGGTGTGTCCTCCTGTGAAAAACATGAAAGAAAAAAGAAATTTAGTGAATATCAAGTCAAGGTTTGGGAATGATTCTTGAAAGATTTCTGATTAATAGTTCTATCATCAAGTTTTAAATAACATAGCATAACGACATTGGAAATATTTAGTGATATGTATGAAATCAGTGATTGTGAGTTTTTTTAAATTACTAGTGCTAAAAAAAAGAACTTTATAACAACTTTATTGGCTGCAAACATGCAATATCAACTGTGAATCGACTATGAACTGGTATTTATAGGGAACATGTGATTATCATTTCTATTAGTGAACTTGGATCTATCATGATAAAAACGTAAAAAATTGATACATATCAATATATACAGTACCATATTTAATATTAATTTCTGAATTACCTGATAAAACTACAAGGTCTTTGACATTTAAACCCTTAGAGGCAAAAGATGATTCCAGTTGAGTTATATTGAAAGTAGGGAATGGTAGATTGGTCAATACTTCACTGGCAAGTGAAATCGTTCCATCCCTTCGTCCCGTAGGGACTGGCCAAAATGGGCCTTTTATCTGCAAGGAAACTTTGTAATATTAGTGAACTGGTAAGTGATTGATTCAAGCTTAATTGGTAAATCTAATTGAAGAAATTTGTTACCACTGAAACTGCATCACGAGCTACTAGGGATAAAATATCAGCACAAGAAACAACACCAGGACACTTCTTCTCTAGTGCAGCTTTCACAGCATCAATAATTTGGAATCCATTTAAACTTAGGTTGGGAATTGCAGCCTTCTCCGCTTGGTTATTCGTGGTAGAATTGAGTAGCACAGAAGCCTCACAACCCTACAAGAATTAGATTAAAAAATTTATCGATGACAATTAAGTCATGCAACTTGCAAGGGTTAAATCTTATATTCTCAAAATATTGTCTTGTTATTTCAAATGCACTCCCAACGTGCGATTGAGAGTACACAATAGATAGCAGGATAACATGCCACTTTTGATTAATAAAAAAAATGCCAAAAGCAGAAGCATATTTTATCTAAAATCATCCATTAAATTGTTTTTAGATACCCAAGTAGAAAATGTGTTTCAAACATTGGAACTAACGTCATACTTGATATGGTGGAAACAACCAACGATCTTACCATTCTTATGAAAACTAACCCATATAAAATAGATAAATAAATCATTTATGTGAAAACTTAAGCCATGCATGCAACCCTTAACAAGTACCAAAAACATGAAAACCAAACATAAAAATTAACACAAAAATAAATATGAATAGATAAGATTTTACAGAATTTGTTAGCGGGGTCGATTTCTCAAAAATCTTTTTCCTTATTTGATATTCTTGGATTATTCAAAAAAAAAAAAAAAAAAAAAAAAGAAAGAAGAGAGAACAAAGAGAAGGGGATGGAGAGAGAATATATTACCCTAACAAAACAATCATGAAAATGCATCCTTAGCAATTTTGGTGCAAAACTTGGAGTATGAGAAATAAATTTTGTTGTAATCTTCTTGGTGATAGCCTCGGCAGAGGGGCATGATGAGCTGTAAAACCCTAGTTTCAAGCCTTGTGCATTAGCAAGGTCTAAGAGAACAAGAACAAGTGTCAACTGAATAAACAAAACTGAGAAAAGCTTTGAATTAGCCATTGATTTCATACTTCAGAGACAAGTAATATGAATTTGCTTCTACTTAGTAAACACAAGTTCAGTATTTATAGTTGAGCTGAGGCCTTTGAATTTGTCATGAAAAAAGCTGTCACTGCGTTGTTCTGCATTTTTGATAATTAAATGTCTAAAACAAAGGGTTGACTAGTGATTAAAAATATGCTATGAGGAATAGATTGAAGTTGAATTTTGCCTGCTTTCATTTGTTAAGAGTTTTAAGTACAGGTAGATTTGTAAAGAATGGATCTCCATCTAACATGGCTACAATAATTGATGCAAGTTTTTTGTGTAACTCAGCTTATAAAGTAAGGGTTTATGCAGATTCTCAATTGCTTGAAACATTTTTTCAAAGAGCTAACGCCAATTATTGTCCTATATACTATATTCAAGTTGGGAAATTGAAGTTCATTGTAGGAAAAATAAAAAATAATAATTAACGGAAATAAACAGATTCAGGCATACATTTCATACTAAAACCAAATTCATGGATAATGTGGGTTGTGCTTCCAAGGAGAGTGAAAAGGAAGAGAGAGATTAGGAGAAAAAGACTAGTAGATTATTTATACGATTAAATTTCTTACTGTCCCAAATATAATACGTATATGTTATGTAGAAGAGTTATAACCACTCACAACTCTATCTCCTTAAAAGATGAGATAGTGGGTTATATGAATGACAAGTTGATTCAAAAGGAATCTCTCATAATAACTGTCTCCCAATGAGTTATGGTCATGTCACCATAGGCGACCCAATTGGATATGAATTCTAAACTAGACCCAATTTCCAACATTCATGGTTGCCCTTTAATTGACCTCTTAACACAAATCTTTCCTTCCAAAAGAAGTTAAAAATAAGAAATATGATTCTTTTTTGGGATCAATTATACTTAGCACTGCGATATTTTTATCAAAATCTTACTTTCACTCTTCCATTTTAAATTGTCACAAACAAACTATTACATTTTAGATCAAATTATAACGTCATCTTCCATCCATTTAGTGTTAATGAAGTTGATAGAACAAGTGACATTTTTCTTGGTTCATTAGTACCTTCACACTTCTAACATCCACTTTTTTTCATTACATGTTTATTGAATTCTCCTTTTGGTCATTCCACTTTAATTTTGCAATTAACTATTTTTTAGAATTATTACATTTAGTATCCTTACATTTTTACTAAAAGTTCATAAAAACATTAAATTAAAAATATAAAAAAAAAAAGAAGTGCATAAAGGGATTGGAAGTGTGCAAACAAACTCTCCTATTACTACAATTGGCAAACTCACAACCTACCCTTTGATCCCATCAGATTTTTCAATTTAACAAAAAAAAAAACAACACGCACACACACATAAAGGAGTCAAGTAGATTTTAACTACAAAACACTAAAATGCTTGAAACCCACCAAACAAACTGTCCAATTGCATCCTTGTTTGTTTTCCATGCCAATACGATCTTGGTTCTCTCATTCTTAGCTGTTTGGAGTATGGATATAATAGAAATTTGGAAAGAAATATAAAAAATATGTGTGAAATATGGTTATATTTCATTTATATTTCACACATATTTTTCTTTCTTCTTTATAAATTCATATTCAAATTTATACTTCAAATACAATCTTAGGGTATGTTTGACATAGGTTACTGTGGGGATATATTTTCTGGATACCAACACGTGGCATGGTGACGCCGACGTGTCAGCCGAGGTGCCACGTGCCCTGGTAGTTAAGCCGAGGTAATCTCGGAGAAGTCGAGGTCATTTCCGAAGATATCGGAATCCGAGATAAGGGGCGAAGAGTCCTAAGGCACAAAGGGGACTGAACCAAGATAAGGATAAAACTCTTAGGGAGTTTATCTTTATCTCTTAAAAGAGTCCAGAGTAAACAGCAAATTAGAGTTCATAGAAGTCATACTTCTAGTGGGACTTGGATTGAGTATATTATAAAAGAGAGGCACCGGTATGCAATTTAGGTCTTGAGTATTCAGTTTAGCACTTGATTTATCTTTGAGAGATATACTGACTTGATCGTCGGAGTGCCCCCGGGTGGAAGAACCACCGCCGGAGCTTTTTCTTTCTATTTCAGGTTGCTTAAGCCATCTATTCCGCTTGTGCTCTCCAGCTGATCACTAAACGGGCAGTGTGGTCAGATTTTCACCCACACAATTTGGCGCCGTCTGTGGGAACGAAGGAAGAATAGATGGCCAGTAGCGGACAGCAGGAAAATATTGGGGATGACGCTCCCACTGGGAGTGGCAGACCAATTGACCTTGACATCGAAGGAGATAACCACAATACAGAAGCCCGTGACCAGGGCCACAGGGGGAACGACGTCATCCCAGAAGGCGACACGTCAAAAAGAGCAAACCAAGGAAAGTACTACAATGAAGATAACCTCCAAGTATGGAGGGACAGGTGCCTACGGAGGGATGAAGAAGTGAAAGAGCTAGCAAACAAGTTGGCGGACCTCTAGTCAGTCGTCAGCTTCATGATGCAGAATAATGTTATGCAGCCACCATACCCGCTGCAAGATACGCCGATGCCGGCGAACAACATTCAGAAGGATGGAAGAAAAACAATCCCCGAGGTCCCTCAGCATACCAGAAGCGGAAGGCATTCTCACCGGCCTTCCGGGGAAGTCGGACGGGAAAAGCCGAGGCAAGAAGAGTCCCGAAGGACACACCACATGAAGAATCCAGACCCCAAAGAACATCGACATGTTCAGGGGCAAGTACTCCATTTTGACACAACCCATGAAGAAAGATCCAAACGACCCCACCACGAGGCCGAAAGCAGTGTACCAAAAAGACTAAAATCCAAAGACAGCCGAGCTCCAGGGAGGAGCAAAGAAGACTTAAGGGACTACCTCAAGAGGAGGCAGCAGAATGCAGAAGCCGAGGTAAACTCCCCAGTAAAACCGAAAACAGCCTTCTCGGTGGAACTGGACAAATTCGAACCACCCAAAAGATTCAGTATGCCGAGGTTTCAAATCTATAATGGCAAGTCAGATCCAAACTTTCATGTTGGGCTATACCTAAATTCAATGACGCATTATATAGCGGGAACGCGCCGTTGCTCTGCAAAGTATTCCCCTCATCTTTGGAGAAATTGCATTCTGATTGGTTCCATAAGTTACCAAAAGGAAGCATAAAGACATGGGAAGGCTTGGCCGAGATGTTTGTGGCCAGATTCGTGACCAACAAGCTGCAACCCCTGAGGGTTGATGCTTTGATGGCTCTACGAATCACCAAAGAAGAAGGCCTCAGGGCCTATGCGAAGAGTACTACGAGGTGTTCAACCGAATACCCGAATGCAACCAGGAAGTAGCAGTCGTGTCTTTCAAAGAACGGCCTGAAAGATGACTGCCCACTAGGAAGTCTTTGGCAAAACATTGCCAAAAAGCATGGAAGACGCTCATGGCAAGAATTGAGAATACGCCAGGGCCGAGGAGATACAATCGGGAAACAAAGAAGTAAAACAAGAAAAGGGAAACGGCTCGCCGAAGCGAGCCCGAGTCAACAGTGGGCGACCAGCTGAGCTGATAGCGGAGTGATGTCGATTGTCAAGTTGATTATATAAGAGGCTCGCTCACTGTAGGTGAGTGATTTATCGAGTACGAGTGAACGATCGATCGTTCGTTGACTCTGTGAATTGGTAGTAAGTTGGAGATATACACTGAGTGCTAGTGTACTGAGTGTCGATACACCGTTGTAGCGGCAGGTGAATGACTAATCATCACGCTGTGGATAGATGTAGTATACCAGGGCTGCGATCGCATTCGAGATTGTGATTGTCGTTATAGTACGCCGCAGGAAGCGCGTAGGCAGCGCTATTGAGCTTCGATGTGTCGAGCCAGCAGTCGTAGTGTGATGATCACGCGCACCAGAATTATGCTGGACCACGTACCACGCACTATGATGTATTGTTCACACGAGGTAGGTAGAGAAGGCAGGCAAGAGGTGCTCAAGCACTAGAGCAGCATCCCAAGCAGCACAGCTAGCACACACACGCAGAGAAACGCGGGGTGGTGTCAAGTAAATCCTCAAGGGTACACGAAAAACGTGAAGTCAGGAGGAGAACACTCAGAAGGGTAGCCATTGTTATCAGGCATTATCGACCAAGTCGGGGCAAAGTTC